ACTGCCTCGATGAGCCTCTGCGTGATCGCCTCGACGAAGCCGGTGTTGCTCTGCTTCGACAGCAGACCGATGAGCACACGGCGGAGGTAGTTGGCCACCACCGCTGCAGCTTCCGTCGCAATGTGCATACCGAGCAACTTGGCGCGGAGCTGCTCCACCATCGTCATGAGAAGCGGGGATGCGGTCTCTCTCGGCGTCAGAGGGGCGACCGCGGCCGCCTCTTCAATGTACCTGTGCGCCGTCTTGGTGCAGCGGCGGACGCACTCGTCGACAAACGACAGCAGGTAAACCTGCTGAGCCGTGAACATGGCACCATATCCCTCCGCGATGACGGGCAAGGCGTCGAGCCAGATGTTGAGCTCGGTCGGGTCGTGCTCGAACAGGAGCGAGGGGTGGAGCAGGCGCTCGAGCAGTGTCGTCGTCATCGTGCGCGTCACGAGATTGTGCGTACTCAGGTGCAGCTGCAGGATGTGGTAGAGGTAGGTGTACTGCGAGCCAGCGGCCTTATTCGTCCAGTTCCATCCCGGCACACTGGCGAGCAAACGCAAAACGTGCAATTGCGACAGAGCCTCGAAGCCCTCGACATCGCCGCGCGCGTGGCCAAAGCCGCCACCCATACCCACAGTGCCGAGCGTACCGACGGAGCCCACGGAGCCCGAATCCGAGACAACGGAGCCCTCACGCGCCTCACGCCTGGCTCTCCGCTCAGCATTGGCGCTGGAAGCCGAGACGAGCAGCTTGCCGACGTCGAATCGTGCTTCCCCGGCGAGACTGGGCAAGGTCGCGTGGTAGAGGCCGAACAGACGCAGCGCCGCCTCTGTCAGCATGGCGCTGCGAGCGGCAACAGCCGGCTCGACCTCGTCGTCCTCATCCTTCGGGCGGCCGAGAGTCGCCGCCTTTTGCGCGAAAGCGACGATAACGGGCACCTCGGGGACACGGAGGCGGCACTCGACCTCGAGGTCGCGAGCGCGGGCAGTCCAGGGTCCGTCGGGGCCCTCGCCGAGCTCAGAAGCGATTTCAGAGAAGATAGCCTGCACCTTCTGGAGCTTCTGCAGACCACGAGCGAGCGTCAGCGCAGTGACGTGCTGCACGAGGGCGACCTGGTGTTGAAGGCCCTTCGAGAGGTGGCTCTTCGTGAGCGGCGACGGGAGAACCGACTCGACAACAGTGGACACGGCAGGCGGGAGGGATCGCGGGGGCATGGCCTCCTTTGATCCCTTCGGCGCCGGCTCATGGAAGGTCTCAATCGGTGGGAGGGGGAGCGAGACGATACGACCGACGTACGCCATCGTCGCGAGCCAGCGCGCATCTAACCTCGGCTCGAGCGACAGCGCAGAGTGCGCCCAGTATCCAGCGACCAGCTCGGGACACGCCGTGAACATCTTGATAGCCCAAGAACCGACACGTCCCTCATCATCAACAACGCGGTTGCCCAGCTTGCGAACGACGTTAGACAGGATACGGTTGTGCAGGCCCTTGCGCTTGTCATGCTTGTCGGTGTCGTCTTGGCGGAGGTACCAGCCCTGGTCGGGGAAGCAGATGCCGCGTCCCGGTGTAGCCGTCGTGTTGATAAGGAAGGACTCGGCGACATCGGCGATGGGCGTGCCAAAGGCGGACTCGGGACGTTCCAGCAGACGGGCGATAGAGTCGACAGCGGCCTCGTCGAGAAGGACGAGGGCCGTGCGGCGTCCGATACCCGGCGGCGGGGAAGAGATCGCACCCCACATGGACTTAAGCACGCGGTAGACAGTCTGCGGAGGGTCGAGGCTGAGCCCCGAGTAGATCTGCGGCAGAATGGTCTTGGCATGCGTGTGCAGCGTCGACATTGGGAGGAGCGGCAGGATCAGGTCGAGAGCGAGATGCCGAATGTCGGGGCGATCCATCGGGTCCCGCTGTCCGTAGTGCACCTCTCCATCCTTGTTTCGCTTGCGCATGCCGAGCGCCTTGCCGAGCGTCTTTGCGCTGCCACCCTCCGCGATCACCTGCCAGACCTTGCCCGCCAGTCGACCGGTCGTGTGCGGCTGAGCGGGGTCCGGCGCCTCAACATTCGCGGCAGCAGAGGCGACAGCCAGACCGGCGAGAATCTGGTCCCGTCGCCCAGACTGCAGCAGACGCGAGAGGAGATCCGGATACGGCTCGGTCGCGGATACGAGCTTCGAGACTATGCCGACAAGCTGGGCGTGGAAGAAGGGGAGCGGCGTGAGGATGCGAATGACCTGCGAAAGCAAAAGTGCTGTGCTCTCAGCCAGCCTCTCGTTCTTGTTCTGTCTGTCAGCTGGGCCCAGTCGCATGACAAGCTCACCTCCTGGGCGACATTCCAGGTGTGGAAGATCTCATCGACGGTGGGAGACAGTTCGAGATACTGCTGTAGGATGAGCACCGTCTGGTGAGTGATCGGGAGGGGAAGTTGAGAGAACGGCGTCACAATCTGCTGGTGGAACGACACGATCGCTGCTGTCAGCTGTAAGCGACGAGGAAGACACACCTTGCCGAGATCCAGACTGGAGGCCGTCGCGGACCGCCTTGCCGGTAGCGAAGGACTTTGTGCCGGGCTCCGGGCGATGGACGAGGTCCGCTTGCTGCTCATCTCTTTTGCGCTTGGGTGCCATGGCGCAAAGGTGAGCGGAGCTGTTAGCGGTAGGTTGAGGTTGAGTTGAGTGTGCTCGCTCGCTCGCTCCTTAGCTGTCCGTACGCTGGGGTCCAGAGATTTCAGAAATCTCACTCCGTCATGGAATTGTTGTGAAGTCACGTGCAGTGTAGCGTGGATTTCGCGTGGCATTTATGTGGAGCTCCGGAATATCACGTGATTGTTGTTGATGTAAACAAACAAGAGTGCAGGAACGAGGAGATTTGCCAGCCATCTTTGATGAAGGGATGGGGGGCGTCTCTGGTGTGTCGCCTGGGCCGTGCACTCGCTCAGGCTGTTGGTCAGGGACGAGGACAGGATTCCTCTACGGTCATCGTCATGTTCATCGCCCGCCAGGCAGTCAACTGCTCTCGAATGAACCCACGCCTACCCTTAGATTGTCCTGTACCACTTGCCCGAGTTGCACTCACAAACTCCCGCTCAATGCACACATCTTATGCATCGTGCCTCCTAGAGTGAAATTACATCCCGAACATTGGCGTCGTCGTCGTCAACACAGGAGAGAGCTCACTCACACACTCACACAAACACATAAACTGTCGTCGTCGTTGTTGACTTCTTCCTCATCACTGTTCGACCACTCTTCTTCGACCACTACCTTTTTCCGTTCCCTGTCATTCATTTTCGCAGTCGACCTCTGGGATTCGCCCGATCTGGCTGGTTCTGCTCACGCCCCCAGACGCCCGCAGACGCCCCTAAAAGTAAACAAATTCAACATCCACTCAGGCGCTAGTCAGCCTCTTGTTTACACATTGGGCAATGATGGCGGCCACCTCGTCCCCCTCTCGGTCCGACGGCCTGGGCATGTTTCCAAACATGACCACCGCCGCGACTCCAGACAGATCGCCCATGTACAACCACTTTGCTCCTGCCACTCCTCCTCGTGCATCTCCTCTCCGATCATCCCATCCTCAGCCGGGCCCCTCTCCCAGCCCGCGCCACTACCCATCCCCCCAGCGCTCCTCCAGGCCCCCCAACCCCGGCTCATCATACGCCCCCGGCTCGCCGACTCGTTTGCCGTTGTACCAAACAAACCCAAACACCCCGCCGCAAAAGTATCGGGTCACCAACCCCGACCCTCCTTCTCCTTTGCTCTCCGACTCGCAATCGCCCATGCAGCAGGCGCAAGCGAGTCGAGCTCAGTCGCCCCATCGACAGCAACTACCCCGAGCTCAGAGCCCAGCACAGCAACAGCAACAGCAGTACCGACTGCAGCAGCAGCAACAACAACAACAACAACAACAACAACAACAACGGCAGGGCCATTTGATGAGCCTCATGCCTCCTCCACCGCAGCCCTCGTTCGCGCCGGCGGCGTCCTCGCCTCTGAAGCCGCATAACGGCAACAACCGAGATGCGACGTCTGACGAGATGTACGCCGACGCCTCCGAGTCCGATGAGAAGCGCAGCAAGTCTAGTCACGGTAGCAACAACAGCGGACGCGGAGTCCGGATGTCTAAGAGTACCGAGTTCCTCCGCAATCTCGCCGGCAAGGGCAAGGGTCATGCGTACACGGAACTGAACGGCGAGGACGACGACGAGGAGCTCCTACGACAGCCCGAGCCTGCCCAGCAAAAGCGACACTCGCTTGCCAGCCTCGATCTCCGCCGAGGCTCGCCCGGCCCCGAGGCGCCAAACACGGCGCAGAGCAACTGGACTGGTAGCAAGGAGGCTCTTGCTCGTGGCTTTCCCCAGCCGCCTCATCCCGGCAGTGAGAATCCCTACCTCAGCGACCACGCCTTCAGCAGCCAGGACTCATTCACGACAGCCCAAGGCTCTGGCGGTGCGACCTCGCCGATCCCTCCCGTTGTTCGAGGCAAGCCATGGCCGGCTCATGCTTCCCCGCAGACCGCTGGTGGCCCTCAGGTGGCAGACCCGCTCGTCCCCGTCGACGGTCCGCACTCGCGCAGCGATCTCTTTGCGGCCGAGACTGGCGGCATGCTGATGTTTGACGGCGAGAACTTCCAACGGGGTCGCGGACCGTCTGCTGCCTCGAACCAGCACACCCAAGCTCCTGCCAGCGACTCCCACTCCTCCGACCACCCGTCTTCCAATGGCTCCTCGAGCCGTCTCGACTTCACCAAGCCCCGTGCGGCGCCGATGCCGGACTGGAACGAGCCCGCACCGCCAATGTCCTGGGTTGCGCCGGCCGACTGGACAAGCGAGTGGAGCCAGGCGCGGAACGAGGGACAGTCTAGGAGACCTACCCGTCACGCGCGCAGCTACTCGGACGGCATGCAGCTGCTGAACCGCCAGGGCACACTGCTGCACCCCGACTCGAGCGGCGAGCGTCTGTCCGAGGAGCTCGGCCTCATGCTCGGCAAGCCGCGCAACCGCCGACTTTCTACTGGTCGCCTCCTTCCTCCGCCAGACACCTCCAAGCTTAAGAAGCCGGAACCAGTGCGCCTGGAAGCCAGCAAGAAGCGCCGCGCCCGCGTTGAGCTCGATGTTGTGCTCGAGCGTGAGTGCGCGATCGAGGGAGGTGACTTGCGTGGCCGCCTCGAGGTTGTCGTTCACGGCGGCAAGCGCAGCAATGCGCTCCGTGTCGGGCACGGCAAGGTGCGCGTGATCGGATTTGAGGAGGTCGACGGTCGCCGCCACATCTTCTACCAGCACCAGTACCCACTTCCCGTTTTCCAGCACTGGGCGAATGGACCGCGGACGACACTCTTCGCGGACCCGCCAGACGGCGAGGGCTTCTGCGCCGCCAAGGAGGGCACTCACGCGATCCCGTTCTCCATTCCACTCCCCGTCGGTGAGGGCGCCAAGGGCACGTACACTAGCCACGACCCCAAGGGCCCGAACATCCGTTACGTCGTCGTCGGAAGCGTCAAGATCTTCGTGCCGAAGAAGGACAAGCGCGCCATCGCCCACTTCTACCGCCCCTGCGTCATTCTTCCTTACCTCAACCCTGCTATTGTGCTCGCCCCCGCCCGCGCGCCGATTATGACGCAGCGTACCTGTGGCCTTGGCTGGAACCTGACTGGCGAGAAAGGCAAGGTGCTCATGCAGGTTGCGCTTGGACGACGGATCTGGGTCGCTGGTCAGCGAGTCTGGTGCGAGGTCGCGGTCAAGAACGACAGCAACAAGAAGATCACCAAGTGCTCGCTCGCCGTCATCCAGACCGTCAACACCTATCTCCCGAAGAAGGGCAAGCAGGCCATGTCGCGTGAGCCGACGACGAGTCACCGCAAGAAGGTCGCCGAGGAGACGGTCGAGGCGGACTTTATGGACCTCGGCAGCGGGCATGTGACGGGCAAGGGATGGTGGACTGGCCTCGAGCCCGGAGAGGGCAACCGCTGGGATCTCTCGTGTCCCATTCCGAGTGGCATGCTCTCGATCCCGCGGTCTCGCTACGTCGAAGTCCTCTTTACTCTCCGCGTTACGCTCAACAACTCGGTTTTCGTCGACATGCCCATCGAAGCTATCAACTTCCTCTCGATCGACCCCCCGCCGATGCCAGGTGACACAAGGCGCATCGGTGGACGCCTCCCAGTTGTCTCTCCGATTGGCCCGGCATCGATTGCCGCGGGTGCAGGGATGGCTGGCATCGGCGCTGGCGTTTCTGGAGTTAGTGCGCTGGAGACGAGCGGCGAGGGCTCGACGCTCACCCAGATGGCCAACGGTAACCTGGGCACGGTCTCGAGCAATGGCGGCGGTTACGACCTCGACCAACTGCGTGGCCGCAATGCCACTCCCGATGCCGACCGACTCTCCAACGCTAACCCGTCCTCGACGACGCTGCATATCGACACGATCAAGCAGAACGCGCGATTGAGTCAGCAGGGTGCGGCGGCATCGCAGCCATCGACCACTCAGCCCATCGGCGAGGTCACTGAGGTCACTGAGGACCTCGCACCTCGACCCGGCTCGCCGGACTCGCAGTACTCGACTCGCGGCGGTACCATGGCGTCCAAGTACTCTGTCCAGAGCATCGACGAGGACGAGCGCAACCTCCTCGCGTCGGAGCAGGCGCGTCGCGAGGGCCGCCACAGTATCGCGCAAACCCTCCAGATCCAGCAGCTCCAGGAGGAGAAGGAGAAGCTTCAGCGCGAGCTCGACGCACTAAACGAGCGCCACGCTGCCTCCAAGGGACTTCCCGCCGGAGCTGCTGCTGCCGGTGCTGTTGTCGGCGGCATCGCCGGGGCCATGGCTGGTAAGGGATCGGACGCCCCGGCCGTGGAGGTTACGCCCGACGAGTCGGACCTGCCCACGCCGACCGCTTCTCCCCAGCGCGGCATGCTTGCCGTTCCTGACGACAAAGACGATCTCGAGTCGGTCGTCTCTGGCACCTTCGCCCCAGCCCACGAGCCTAAGGAGGTTTCGTACCAGATGGGCAGTGACGAGGACGACTTCACCGACGCCGACGAGACACCGCATGGCTCGCCGAACCACAGCCCGACGCAAGGTTCTCTGGACACCACGCTGCCACCGCTGCAACTCGCTCCTCGTCCGCTCTACCTCTCGCACATCAGCGAGGAGGAGGAGCCGCTGGACGACGAGACGCTCTCGGAGCTCATGTCCGAGGACGCCCAACATGCGCGCCACATCGACTTTGGCGACGACGACGATGATCTTCTCGCTGAGCCCGTCAGTGGATTCCTCGAGTCCACGCCGCGCAGGAGTCTCGAGGACCGCCTGCGTTCCGCATGCTCGCCTCACGGCGAGCCCGCCTCGCCCACGACTCCTCGCGCCAGCAGCTCGCACAGCGAGTCGCAGGAGCACTCGGCGTCAAGCATCGGCACCGGCCTCGCGAACCTGGACCTGCGCGCTGGATCCCCCGGCGCAAGGGACACGTTTGGTCCGCCCTCGTCTGGCCACAGATCCACTTCGAGCGTCGACTACACCGAGCCGATCGACGTCGAGGACATTAGCATGACGGACATGGAGGAGGAGGGCTATGACGCCGACGCGGTGAGCTCGGAAGCGCACGGTAGTGTGTACGCGACCTCGCCCATGGCAGCCGCCTTCCAGAAGCACCAGCAGTCCCAGTCGCTTCCTGGAAGCTGGGAGCCCGGAAGTCCCTGGGGTGCGCGCCGTGGTAGCCGCCCGCCGGCCCTGCCTTCCCTCCAGTCTGCGCGTGACATCACCTGGGGCGGCGTTCTGACTGGCCGCACCGTATCCGGCCGCTCGCTCAAGGTCCCCTTCGAAGAGGAGCCACCCCTCGCGTCGCCCAGCAGCGGCACCTTTGGCACGATCTCGACTGGCTCGGCGTCAAATAGCAACGGCACGCCCAGCACGACCAGGTCGGCGCACTACGAGCACAGCGGGCTCGTGCACGACCACGAGAGCCGGAACCTCGCGGCGCTCGCAGAGGGACGCGACGAGTTCGCCCCGCCTCGCTTCGCGCGCACGGACTCGGCAGCCGATTCGGCGAAACAGAGCTTCCACACGGCGGGAAGCTCGCCTCGTTCCGGCGGCTCGGGATCTGGCGGCGAGCAGGAGCAGGCTCGCATGCCGACTCTCGCGCCCAGCACGGGATCGTCCTCAGGCAGCGACGGCGAGTCGATCCCCTCTCCCCGACAGCCTGAAGGCCCCGGCCCGGACTCTGTCTTCGCGGTGGTCAAGGACAGCGACACTGCGTCAATCCCGGACCGCTTCAAGCCCAAGCCCCGCGTCGTTAGCGGCGACAGCATGGAGAGCCACATGAGCTCGGTCTCGGGCGTCAGCGGCATGTCCGACATGCTCCCCAGTGTTCGGGCCCGAATTGCTGCTCTGGAGACCAGGGACACGGCGCTCAGGTCCTTTGGCCCGCAGAGTGCTGCGTCTTCGACGAGAGTGATCACGCCGCAGTCTACGGGACTCCGGCCGACGCACACGGGCACGTCTTTTGCTAGTGCTGGCTCCGGTCTCCGCGCAGCCTCGCCCGGTCTCAGGGGATCCAGACCCTCGACGCCGAGCGAGTTGCACCTCCGCCCCATCTCGCCTGCCCTTACGGGGGGTAGTGTGAGCTCGAACGCGAGTGGCAGGAGCAAGCGCAAGAGCTACACTTCCACCCTCGCCCCGCGCGCCGGCGACTCGGGTTCCAGCCAGTACAGCATGACGCCCAACCCGAGCCAGGGCGGGCACCTCGCTGTTCCTGGGTCGCAGGCCGAGGAGTATTCCGAGACCGAACCCGAGTCGGACGCAGAGCTTCCGCGCCCCCGATCCCTGGCCGAGATCGACGACGAGACTCCCCGCGCCACCCACCAGACCACCTTCACGCAGATGAGTGTGCCGGAGTCCGAGTCGGACCAGCGCGCAAGCGTCCTGACCACGGGCACTGGGTCCAGCTCTTCGACTCTGCGCGCTGGCGGTATCCCTCCTGCCCCCGTTCGCACGAGCACGCTCTCGGCCCCGAGTGCAGTTGAGGCGCCGGCGCCATCCAAGTCGCCCGTGCCCCGCGGTCCCCGGCCGCCCCTCCGCACCCAGACGAGCAAGCCGAACATTGCCCAGCCGCAGACACCCACACACGTGCCGTCAGCGAGTATTCCCTCGGGAATGTGGCTGAGCGGCAGTCCTCCCGCCGCCGCTGAGGAGGACGACGACTCGCACTCCTCGCGCCGGTATTCTGAGATCCACACTGTGCACACCTTCTCGACGGAGGCGACGACTCCCCGCTGGAGTGGCAGCACCCGCTCCTCGCCTTCGAAGAAGAGCGACGGATCGCCGACCAAGCCCTCTGGCGCTTTTGCCAAGCTGACCGGCCGCTCACCCCGGGGCACACCTAAGCGCGACCTGTCCCCCGAGCCGCTTGAGGGCTTTGCGCGCGGTGCCCAGGGCGCCTACGCCATTAACACAGCGCGCGGGTCGAGGGCCTCCCTCGCGGCTCCGGCCGACGACCACAGTGGGCGCAACAGCGGACGCAACTCGCCCTCGGGCAGTCCCCTCGCGTCTCCCCGTATCGGCGCCCTGGGCACAGTCGGCGAGCACAGGCGTAACAGTCTGCAGCAGTTCATCCGCCCCGGCCCTAGCTCCACAGGTCACGGGGTCTCCTACGCCGAGTCGCCAGGCTACGTCGCCGAGGCGCGCTCGCCTCTCATGGTGCGCTCCGCGACCGCCAGCATGGAAGGTAACATCGAGACGATGAGCGATGACGAGGAGGAGGTCGGGCGCGAGTTGAGGTCTGCGGGCCAGCGCCAGCTGCACCTGCAGATCCCCGCGCAGACTCTGCCGCAACCCGAGCCCGTCCCCTCGCCAGCAGATGGCCAGCCGCAGCAACTCCTCTACGATCCGCAGACAGAATCGTACGTTCCCGCCCCGGCACCTTCCGAGTACGCCGCGCCGCGCAGCCCCCGTTCCGCCGCGTCGCATGCTCCTTCCTCGCCCAGGGCGCCGCCCTCGCCCCGCAGCGCAGGACACAGCAGCAGCGGACACCTCCAGGCCCCACTGCGGTACGGTGGCGCATACCAGCCCGGCAGTCCCAAGTCGCCGACGAGGAGTCTGGGCCGTCTCTCTCCCGTCAGTACGGGGAACACGTCCGAGGTGTCGAGCGACTGGAGCACGGGGTATGGGAATGTCGCGGGACGGCTGCCGAGGCGCGTTTAGGGAATGCGCGAGGCCGAGCCCGCCAGGGCGAGGCTGACTGAGGCTGGATCGAGGACAGACAGGCGTGAGGAGGCAAGCAGTCCCGTCCGCGGTCCGGCTGGATCACTGGTTGGGAGCTTCGACGGGGTGGTGAAGGTGAAGAAGGAGGAGGGCACGGTGAACGACATTGCGCGCCGGTTGACGTACGATGAGCTGTCTCGGGATCGTACGCGGCCCAGACCTCCGCCGAGGAGCCCGAGCGCCAGCCCTCCAGCCCCAAGCCCAAGTCCAAGCTTGAGGCATCCAGTCCCAAGTCCTCGAAACCATCTCAGTCTGCCGACCCGAGTCCACGAACCCCGAGTGTGAGATCCAGGGAGAGGAAGGAGAAGGAGGGGAGTGTGAAAAGAGACAAGTCAAGGAGAGAAAGCATGAGACGTGTTGGAGGCTAGAAGAGACGAGTCTGTATCCCCACGCATGTTTGGAGCATTGTTTTTTTTTTGCAGTTTCGTGTTCTCGTATATGATGAATCTTGTATGACTCTTGCTGCGCTCTTCTCTTTCTGACCCCATTGCCTGTACCGGAAACTACTTGACTGACAATGGCCTGATTGCATCGAGTGACCGTGGGAGAGGGTGATTCTGCGAACGGGCGAACGACAGCCGCCGATCGTTGAACAGAACACGACGTGACTGTGATCCAGGGCTGGCAAGGAGATGTGGAGTGTTAATACGAGAAACATGCATCGTCCGAATATGGCTATGGGAAGCTACGAAGGGGGTGTGGAGTGGTGCGGGGTATGGGGTGGATGTGGTAGTCGTTGAGCCTTGAACAGATACAGAGGTAACAGAGGTAACAGAGGTGTGATGGGGTGATGTGTGGCTGCAGCTGTGGTCGTGGTTGCGTATATGGGTGGAGGTGCGGATACAGTTGTGGGAGTTGTGGGGAAGGCGGCCGTGCGGCCGAGGTGTAGATGCAGTTTTCCTGGTGTTGCTTACAGTAGGATTTGGACTTGATCGTTGTTGTGGTGGTGGTACTCGCGAGCGAGACCGCACAGTGCGGTGTGGGGAGCGCTAAGGCCCAGAGGTCGAGTTGAGGCTCGATGTGATGAGGGGCTGGTTTGAAGTATGGATGCGTGCGCGTACAATATGCGGCACTTGGTGGGTTAGTCGGCCTGTGATGATGGTGATCGGCTGGAGTCGACCTTGACGGTGATGACCGAAAAGAGGCTTGTTTTTGGTATTTTCCGTATTTTCTCATAGTTACGCGGTTGGTATGCACATGGTCGTTATAGAGGCGTGAAAGGAACCCAAATACCCGAATGGAGAGTTGAAACCGGAAGCAGACTGACTTGGGTCGAACATGAAACTTGAAATCGAAACGAACTTGGACTCGAGCGAGGTGGTGATGCTCAGCCTGTGATGGACAACGTCGGAGAGTGTGGCGGCAGTGGCGGTAGAGTGGCGGAGCGAGCTGAACTCGGCCGGATTCGAACCCGTGATGGAGGCGCGAACTAGTGCTGAACCACATTCCAGGTCTCGCGCCTCCCCTCGTGCCTCTTCCGTCCACAGAGTCCGAAGAAGACGTCCCTCCAACGGATCCCGTTCCCGCGCTCGGTGTCGGGATCCATCTCGGCCCACTCGCCATTCGCCTCGCGCTGCCTCTGACTCTGGGGCCGGGTGCCCCTGCTGCCCCCGTTGCCCACGTTGTCTTGACCAGTGCTCGCCTGGGTCTCCTCGGACTCACGTCCCTCACCGTGCCTCCTAGCGTGCATCTCCTGACTGGCCAGCGGCCTGCGCGAACCGACAGGCATGCGCTGCCTCCTTGCTTGGGAGAAGGCGAGGCCGTTATTGAACGGAATGGCGTACGCGCGCGGGCCATAGTCGGGGCGAGGGGGCTCGGCCCAGCCGCCCAGCGAGGTGGTGAGGGGCATGGGGCGATAGACACCCTCGGGCTCGGGCTGATTGGCGACTTCAGCCGTGGCGGTCGGCTCGGCGACGCGCGGGTCGATGGCGATCGTCTCGGGCCGCTTGCTGGGGACGTCGCGGAAGACGGGCTCAGGCTTGGTCTGCGCCTGCTGAGCCGCCTGAGCCGCCTGAGCCTGGGATGACTCTGACTCGGCACCCTCCGGGGTGGAATTCTTGACTCGCACCGAGGTCGGGAGGAGACGCCGGGGCGGGTCGTGCTTGGACTTGTATGGGCGGGGCTGGATGTCCGAGATGACCATGCGGCGGGTGCTCGGCTGGGGCTGCTGCTTGTCCTTGGGCCGCTTCGACTGGCGCTGGCGCTGCTTCCCCTTACCCTTGTTCTTGCGGCTGGCACCCTCACTCTTCCTCCTCTCCATCTCGACCGCCTTCTCAGCATCCTTCCCGCCCCACGACTGTTGACGCTTCAACGCCGGGGACGCAAAGTCCTCGACGCGGGAACGAAAGTCGTCGAGCTTCTCCCATTGAAAAGGCTCCTTGGGCTCGGGCGCGGGCTCCTCGGGCGGAGGCGGCGTGGGCTTCGGCTCCGGATACATCGGCATGAGGTATCCCCTCGGCTTTGGGGACCATGGGGCGGGCACCTCGTCGGCGAAGCGGACACTGGGCTTGGGTTCGCTCTTGGCCCGCTCGAGCGGGTGAGGCAGCGAGATGGCGCGGGACATGGGGGCGCTCTGCGACCGGCGGAGCTCGGGGATTGACGGGGTCGACTTGGCCGGCACTGCGAACGGGTTCTCGGTCGTGAAGGGCTTGTGCTTGGAGCTACGGGAGCTGCGAGAGCTGCCGCTGTCGGAGTTGTGAGTACGCACGGCACGCTCTGCCTGAGACAGCGTGTTCATCACCGCGAAGGCGGCGGGGATCGTAGCTGGGTTGGAGTTGACAGAGAAAGTCGCGGGATTGTCAGTGTCCACCGCGACGCGTTCCTGAAAAAAATGCCCGGACGTGTTTGGGGAGGCAGCTGGCGTGTTGGTTGGAGTCACTGGGGGCTTGGGGCTGGTGGGGATGGGATTGGCGGTAGTGGTATCTTCCTCCGGGGCGGTGTCCTGATGGATAGTGGTGGACTCGGTGGCGACGGCGGGAGCTGGCTGGGTGACCACAACTGAATCAGCGACGGAAGGAGTGGGCTGAGCACCGTGTTGCGCAGTGGTTCCCTTGCCCTTGTCATCGACAGGAGCAGACTCCTCAGCGTTCAGAGCAGACTCCTCGATGGTCGGCGAGGCGAGCTCACTGTCGTTGACCGTGGTGCACGAGCCGTTCCTGAGAGGTGGCGTGTCCATCGTCGCGCGAGGGTCAAAATACCCCGCGCCGTTGGCGGCCTCGATATCGATGACGGGCAGCTTCAGCTCGGGACCGCTGACGACATCGTCCGTCTCGTTCCCGTGGTTGTCTTCGATCTCGAAGATCTGGGCAGGCTGGATAGTCGCAGAGTTGTTGACCCCAGTGGGGTTGGTAGGAGGGGTAACGCTGGTGGCGGTAACGCTGGGAGTGACGCCACCAGCGGTGCCAACAGCCGTGTCCTCGACGGGTCCAGTAACCGGAGAACCAGCATCAGTGGGTGTACTGTTCTCGCTGGCCTCGAGAATCACTCCGAGGTCGCGAGGAAGAGCAGGGAGAGGATAGCTACCAAGCAGTTTTCCGACGTCCTCGCGGACAGTGAGCATGAGACGCTCAACGTCCTCCTCGTTTAGGATTGGGGTGGGAGCACCCTCGATGTGCGCAATCATGACACGGCTCGCGACCTGATGGCACGATTTGACGAACTCAGTCTGCGTGTTCCTATCGAGAGGGTGGAGGTAGTCGGGGAGGTAGCCCAGAGTGGCATGGATGATCTCCTCGCGACGGAGCTCGAGGCGGTCCCGATGCTCGATAAATGCAGGGAGATACTGTGTGTCAGTCAGGAGTGGCGTGTGCGGAGTGTACTCACAACATCATTCTGCGCGAACCAACATTGCAACCACACGCGGAGGTTCACCGCCATTACCTTGTCATCTCGGACGAGCCTTTGTCCGAAGCGCGTGGTCAGAATCCACCCAACGTTGCCGTCCGACATCTTCAAAGGGAGGAACGCAATCTGCGCCGGAAGCCATATGTCGTTGCCGGCGTAGAAGAGCACCCCCGAGAAGAGGACGCCAGGGTAGCGGTCGTTTCGCTGTTGTTAGCGTGTTCACCAAAATGCACTCACCCAAAGACCCTTGGCGTAAGGCGAAGTAACGCCTACACTCTGACTGTTCATTGTCGAGTGGCGGCTGTCGGAAGAAGTGAGCGATGGGAAGCAGGGACTTTGAAAGAATGAGAGATGTGGACGTGGAGATGTAGGATGGAGGGGTGTAAGGAGTGCGTTGGAGGGTGACAAGAGGGGGGACCCCAGATTATATGCCAAGCTCGAAGTGCAGAGGGGCATGGGAACAGTTGACATCCGGCGTGATGGATACACAACACCCCGCACCGCACGCGTCTGTGCTCAGCATGAGGGGACGACATTCCGCCCTCTTGCGCCGCGTGCTCTCGTCGTACCCCGACAGCTCCCACGCAGCGCCAGATCCAGTCAACCGCTGTCCATCAGTTGTGATCTGTGTGCATCAGCAGTTCGGATGGGCTGCAGTCCCCGGTGCATGTCGGGAGTGCGTCGCGCCCCCTTTAACAGGCAGATCAAATCAGCTGTTCATCAGGACTGCCACTGGCCGTGCTGCACATGAACAGCGCCCGTGCACAATGGATTCCAGTGGACCATTGTTGTTGCCGAATTGCGAGTAACGGTGACGGGCATGCATGTACAGCTATGGACAGGAGCAGGTGCAGCAGCCAGGACCGACGCATAATGAACGGGAACGTGTGAGTACAGACTGTCCGCAAACACGGAGCGGGAGGCGCAAAGTCCGGCCGGATCTGGGTCTACCGGCTGCCCCTCCAGCCCCTCAGGCTGCCCCACCACCTGCCCCTACTTTCCTCTTGGGTAGCATCGGTGTGCCCTTGCTCCGAGGCGCCAGAGTGCTCGCTGAAGTAGCTCACTTCCTCTTCTGTAATGGTGGTGTCAGTCACACTCCTGTCAACCGGAAGACGGGGATACGTACCGCTCTGCTGGGAAGGGAGCTGGACGCTGTGGGTGCGTGTACTGATCCAGCTCTCGCGCGCGGTCGTGCGGCGGGAGGAAGATGCCGTAGTGTACGCAGAGCTCATGGCACCCTCGTGGGACAGCTGGCCAGTCGTCATCGATAGGGTGGAAGGAAAGCTGTGCGTTGGCGCAATGTACGCGTACGGGTGCATCACGCCGGGCCAGCTGCTGGAGGGTCCCTCTGCTGCTTGGAGGATCACCGATTGGCGGGCCTGCTCGCGGGCTACCATGCGCGCCTCGGACCTGCATTCGCGTTCAAAGTGCTCGATAGTGTACGGTCCGAAATGAAAAATAGTGGGAGGTATCGAGAGCAGTTGGTAATGAGCCGCGACTTGGCAGTGCCCAGCGCTGATACCCAGCTGCAATGCGAGCGCACGAAGTTCGAAAGTCGGGCCAAATGACACGCCGATCTCGGCGCTGATGGAATGAAAGCGCTGCTCAAGGTGCCCCATCATGGTAATCATCCCGACATTAAACTGGGCGTCAGTCGAAGTGGCTGCGGGTTGTACTTACGATCCGGGTCTGGGCCTCGTACGCCTCATTCCAGATACTGGTGGGAACTGCCCAAACTTGGTTGTCCTGGAGCCGGACTGTCAGGTTGAACTGCTCGGGCGCAACCGGGAACATCATGCGAACAGCCCAAAACTGTGTTCCGTGCTCGTTGGGATGGTAGTTGTCTAGTTCGCCGACCAAGTAGGTCGGCGTGTTTTCCATCAGAATGATCACTTTCTTGAAGGTGCGGGCGGTGGGGTTGTAGTCGTGGCCAGGGCGCTGGGGTTAGCATCATGCACTCTACCGTTACTCACCCAGCCATGAGCACCAGGTCGGTGCGTGGTCCAAGTTGCGGGAGGCGGAGTGACAGACATTTTGAAAGTATGTCTCCTGCAGAGGAGAGATGGATAGAGGGGGCTGAAGAAGACCAACTGACCACTGACGCACAGTGGCCCGTTAACGACGGCGGAGAACTCATGAGTGCGCGAGGAGCGAGCAGAGTGTCTCCTACTTTGATGGACAACTCGCACCCACTGTACACCAGTAGCAAGGGTGAGTACCGGTCTAACAGGATTGTGCCGATGGCAGATTGGCATGGGCGAGCTCGCTCCTCTCGCCTAAGCAATGTCTGTTGCAGGCGCGCATGTTTCCGACTCTGGTGAGGCTCCTGGCTGTGTCTGAAAGGGTCTGAGAGATCAGGCGCGATGCCCTCACGCTTCAGCCAGCATCCGATCCACTTAGCAATGATGAATCTGAACGGTGAGGACGAGCTACGGAGATGCGTAGTGGTTAGTGCGGTTGCGAAGTGCCACTCAGACTGTGCGCTGGGTCAGGAACTGCGATCGCAGCCTGTTGCCACCCAGTCATCAACCCCGCTCACCCGAACAAGTTCGCTTCTCTCATCTCTTCACCGTCGAGGCCCTGTCGCCGCCTGGTCACTTGTTCACCTCTTTCTCTCCAAAAAGTCTAAAAATGCCGTCTTTCAGCCTCCTCACCACATCGCGCTCGATTCCTCTCCTGGGCGAAGTAGCCCCTTCCTCGTCGATCCGCCGCCGCTTCACACTGTCCTCCGGCTACAAGCCTAATGGCTCGGCAGCCTTCCTTCAGGAGCTTCTCGGTCACCATCGGCTCCCACTGCCCGTACAGGTAGATACCTTCGACCGCTCCGTGGAGGACGACGGGGATGAAGAGTACATTCAGCCAACAACCGTCCGCCTTCCTTCCTCGCCGTCGCTTCTGGACAGGATGCACCGATCACTTTGCCACCGCGCCAAGCACCTCGTCTCAGATCCCGATATCGACCAACCCTGGACTGAAGAGACACTCCGCCTGTCCAGACTATTCCGCTCACTCTCCGAGAAGGCTGCCTCTGCGACGGTGGCCGAACCATGGAGCGGGAACGATCTCAGCCTCGCCAACTACCTGTCCCTCTACCTCCTCCGCCCCTTGAACGAGCTGATCGCCTACATGCTCCTTCCTCAGGGTATCCTGCTCCATTGGCAAGCTCAAGAGACCCCAGACGCTTGCCGTTTCGAGCTGGTATGGACGCGCGGCGGCCTCAACCCGCGACAGGTTCGCCTCGCCGTCCTGGATGGCTTCGCTCCGCACAACCTGACCGTCCAGGACCTGCAGGCGCTTGCTGTGTCCGTAAGGCTAGGCATGATGTACGTCAGTAGCCAGGGCCGCCTCACTCGCGCATACAGCCCCAGCAAGGCTGCCTTCGCAGAGCGCACACCGGCAACCAAGATGGCGGGGAAGGTCAGTTTGCTCGTCAGTCATGCGCTGACCCACTAGCTGCTCGCTCACATGCAAGAAGCCGAAGTCACCGTCGCCATTCTCACCAATTGCAACCAGTTTGTGGCACTAGCCAAAAACGTCGACGACAACGGCCGGTCAGTCATCGACTTCTCCGAGCCTGTCAACGGTGGAGAGGCGAGCAAGGGCATGCTGGCCTCCTCGCAGCTCGGCTTCCTCCTTAGCGCGACCACGTATGCCTTCCATTGCCACACAAAGGACATGACGCGCAACGAGCTGGCGAGCTACGCGAAGCTTCCGATGTCGTTGCTGCTGGAGATCTTCACGCATGAGAGGTTTGCAGGTGAATATCAAGCAACAGTCGTTCGTTAACGCCAGCCGCTCATGGTACGACCCGCATGTCTATGCGTCGTCGGCGCGGCATGTTGACACCGGAACTTAGTCCTTCCCATGTGAGTCCTGCATCACGCCTGCTCTAACATCAGCTTGGTCCCACGTCGCTCTCCTTCTACTGCTCCCAGGACGTTCTCCGCGACCTCGGTGTGTACTCACCTATCTGGACGCAGCCGTTCTTCGGACCCTACGAGCCGTGCACGCTGCCGACTTTAGTAGAGGAGAAGTCCGATCCGGACAGCTGGTGGACTCCACAGATCGAGCTCGTGTCGCTCAAGGGTAGTGGTGCTCTCTGGACGGCCTTCTCCGCAAAGCTGCGTTGGCTTTCCACCGACCAAACGGAGGCCGATCTCATCGTCAAGTTCTTCGTCCCGTCCATGTTCCCTCCCACGAGGATCAGCAAGTACACGATCTACACGCGCGACGAGGCCAAGGCTGCCGCAATGCACGAGCTGGCGGCGTACAAGGGCCCACTTGCCGATCTGCAGGGGCGCCTTGTCCCGCAGTTGAGGGGAATCTTCGGTTCGTGTCAAAGTGACGGCGTGCAAGTCTGGTGCGTCATGCTCGATGACGCCGGAGACGAGATCAAGCCATCCGAGCGGCGCAGCAACTGGGTCCAGTGAGTAACTCCGAGTGGATCCTTCTAACGGATACAGAAAGTCGGTGAGGAAGGCTTACGCCGATCTGCACGCTGCGGGCGTTCTGCACGGCGACGTGCAGTGGCGGCACATCCGGCGCCTGGGCATGTCCAAGGCGCTGCAGCTGGTCGACTTTGACCGCGCGCAGTTGCGCAGCGCAGGCATGAGCGAGGAGGATTGGGAGGTCCTGACGCGGATGGAGATGGACTGCGTCGAGATTCTGCTCGAGTGCACGATCCCGTGTTCGCCTGCGAAGCAGTCAACCCTGCGGCGGGACCAGTCGATCAAGCGCCGAAAGCCGGTGCCGTCGTTCGAGCCGCTGCTCCACCCCTAGAGATACCAACAACAGCCTATAATGAGAACTCCTTGTAATCGCGGACATTCCTGTAGTGTGTAATGAATAATCAGTGCGTAATGAGCTCTCCTGTCAGTGCGATGCACACCTAATGCATGACTAATTGGTAATGCCCAGCGCGACCTGGACCTCCTCCTTGCCACGCCTGAGGAGTGTCTCAGGGAACTCGTACCCCTCGTTCTTATCCAGGACACGGTCCGCGATCTCGCCATAAGCGTCCGCAATGTGGCGGAGCGCGGTGCCGTGGATCGTCTCCGCCAAGCGGGGGTTGGCGAGCAGCGCGAGTCGGGGCGAGGTGAGCGGGTCGTGGCTGGTGAGGAAGGAGGAGAATTGCGCGAGAGCAGAAGAGAGTTCTTTAGCTGTGAGCTGTTGAGACAGGGGACGGTCGTCCCGCGCCCTGATGGACTTCATGACGGGTGCGAGGCCGGATTGCTCGAGAAGCTTGCCGTGCTGGGTGTTAGCGCCTTGCCTCCTTCCTTCGCCCTTTGCCACTTCGAAGCGTCCTCCCCTCTCCTCTCTTGGCCATCACCGCGCCTCTTCTCCCGCTACCGCCACAGCCACCCCAGAACGCAACTTACATGCTCAAAAGTCATCGAGTCGACATGCTCCTGCACGCTTGCCTGCAACTTCCGGACCCGTGGCGCAGTGAAGGCGTAACTCTCAAGCGTGTGCTGGAGGTATTCCAGGCAGTTGACAAGGAACACGTCCCTGTCCCACGTACTTCCCGTGTTGCCCGTGTTCTTCCTCAGGTCCGCCATGCGCTCGCACATCTCCACCGCCGGGTCCACCGCCGCGTCGAGCAACTTGGCGAAATCTGTCTCGCGCTCCTCGGCGTCGACGAGCGAGGTGTCGTATACTGCGATGATCTCGCGGAGGATCTGGCACGCATCGCGGAGTGCCAGTGGGGGACTCAGAGTTGCGTCGGGAGGCTGCGGCGTTAGCTCTGACAAAAGAGGATGAGCTTACGTGGAGGAAACGCAGGAGGGAGCGGCCCTGCGCCTGGAGCGTCTCGAAGAAGGCGGCGTCGGCGTAGTCGTACAGTCTGTCGTTAGCTGGGTAATCATGATGATGCAGCTCGGGTGGGCTCAAGACTCACTCCTGCAGCGTCCTCGAGAGCAGGGCGTCCGCGCCTATCGTCTTGCGCATAGTGACGAGGTAGAACTGCACGAGGTTCACAATCTTGTACGTCATGACCACGCCCTCTTGCGTCTTCACCGTCTGCTCTATCCTCAGCTTCAGGGGGCGGCCGAGACCCTCCAGATTCCGATCCAGGACCTCCGCGACCAGGCGCTGTGCGTCGTTGGACGCCGCCGCTCGTTCTGCGCCCACCATGCGCCGGCCAGTGCGCACCTCAAACAGCTGCTCGAGGAACTCGTGCTCGCTCGCGGTCATCTGGTGCACCCACGCGAGCATGTCGCCGACGTAGCGGGTCGGGTCGTGGGCGTGGATCTCGATAGGTCTCGGCAGACCATTGGGCCCTCCACGGGTGAGGGCGTCAAGGAATGCCTGGAGGATCGCCGCCTGCCTTGTCGATGCAAGGACAGACAAGGCGTCCTTCAGCATTTGTGGGCGGGAGCCTAACCGCCTAACGCCGGCTTTCAGGGATGACGAGACGTCGAGTTGCGATTCCCGCGTCATCTGGCGGAACTGCAGTTCACACCAGCGAGACACCTTGGCGTAGCCTGCCTCCATGGCCGCTCCTGTCGCTGCCATTATGTCCAGGCCAGCCTGCATCTTTCCCTCGTCTCCACCCAGAAGTGCGCGACAGTCGTCTCGGATCCGTTCGACATGTTCCAGCGCTGCGAAGACTTCGGGTCCTACCTCGACCTCGCGGGACGAGAGGGCTGCCTCCTCCGTCGGAGACAAGGTGAAGCGTGCCAGGAAGAGCTGCACGAGTGATGTGCGGAGCTGCGCGGAAGCACTGGGGTCAGCTATGAGAGCACTCTCGAGCTAGCTGGGGCGAAGTAGGACTCACCGCTGTGATCGCAGTCCATCCGCTCGCTCGAGGAGAAACTTGGTCCCACTGTTCGCCTGGTCGAGCTCGCCCTGCACCGCGTCGCAGCGCGCCTGCATCTCTAGCATGTGCTCGCGGAGTACGTCGAGTTTCTGCACCGTTAGTTATCATCCTACGATGGCTAACTGACCTTATCGACTTCGCCAAAGGCATCGAGGAAGCGCTGGCTGCCGCCAGCCATTCGCGCCTCGACATCGCGCTTCAGATTCCGTCGGGCAGCAGCCGCGCTCTGCCCCTTCAGCGTCCGGCGCCGCGGGACAAAGTCCTCATCGTCGTCGTGGTAGGTGTTGGAGACAGACGGAGAAGAGTCGGCTTTTGACTTGCCCTTGTCCCGCTTGGCGTAGAAGCCGGATGCAATCTCGAGGGCTTCGCGCGAAGCGGCGTCATCGAAGTTGGTGCTGATCGCTTTGTAGATACGGAGAGATATAGGGTTGTTGCGCGACGGCGCCGGTACCGGTGTCGGCGTTGTCATGTCGCTAAGCACAGTCGGTGTTGAGATTGGGAGGGAAGGTGATGAGGTCACTGGACAATGTTGAAACAGCTTGCCGAGTGTCGGATGTCGGTCATGCCACGGTGTCTCGAGGTGGAGGTCAACAGCTGGGAGCGCGATTTAGGAAAGGGATGGCATTTAGGAAAGTGTAATGGCACGTGTGTGGAGATTAGCGGGGGCTAAATGGGAGATAATTGTGGAGACACCACCGAGGGCGTCCAGGGGTGACTGAGTGCGCACGTCTGGGCGCTGGGCGTTCGTTGGCTTGGGCGGCGCGCGACCGGCGGCCAGGCAGGAGCGCAGGCTCGGGCTCTGCGTATGCCTGGGCATGGCATCCACTCGTTCAGCACCAGCACCAACTTCTTCATCTGCGCTCCGTCACCCTCCCTCCCCACCTTCCACCGACTGACGTCTTCTCCTCAACCACCGACCACACTCCTTTCCCTTTTTTCATCCACCGACCTTTTCGCTACTCGTGCCCTGTCCCAGCCCCCTTCACCCTCGTCACCCCTACCCTTCGAGCTCAAACCCCCCTCCCGCATCCCACATCCAAACGAAGCATGCCGACGACCCGCGCCCAGTCAAATCGCTCTTCGCCGTCGCCCCTCGGCAACACCTCCGCCGTCCAGACACAGAACAACGAGGTCCGCCAACGACCCACCCACCGCCCCCGTGAGGGAAGCAGGTCACGAAACATCGAGGACGTCTACGACGCCAAATAGTGAGTCTATTTAACGGCTGCCCCAACTTTTCCCCATTTGAATCAGTAATCAAGCGCCCAGTGGCTTTGCGGTTTCGACCGATTTCAATGAACCCGCAACATGAGCTGGGGCTAGTGGCGATTCACGAACTTTTGGTCAGCTCCGAGCCCGCCGAAAGTGTTTGCTTCATGCAACTGTGCTCAGTGGAGAAGTGTGCGCAGCAAGCGGTGCTTGTTGATGCACACCGACCGTCGTTGGAGCCGCTCGTGTGAACGGGTTCGGTCACCGTTTCACGGCCATTTCCAACGCCGAACCTCCCTCCAATGTTTGCCAAGCCGCTAACCTTAACAGTGCCGTCGACCTCGCGTGAGCTTCGACGACTGTTGACACCGATGATAGTAGCTGACCTCTTTCCTCTGTCGTTGCCGCTTGCAGAACTACAACGTGAGTCAAGTCTTGTGTGTCGGTGGCTATTTCTGGCGGGGCAAAGGGGGCGATGGTTGCACGACATTTTCGCACTTGGCACTTGTGTGGATGCGGGAAGAACAGCCAGTGATGGACACATCCTGCTTGCGTCGCCGCACCCATGAGAATATAAAGAGGCGATCTGCAGTCCGTCTTGTTGCCCTCCCAGGCATCAATCGTCCCTGCACCCCGGCCGACTAGCGTTAAGCGATGACGCAGATCGCCCTCCCCCGATCTGCCGACATTACCAATCCCCGAGCCTGTGCCAATGGCAACGGGCATGCCTATACCAACGGCCATGCCAACGGGCACCTCAACGGCAACGGCAACAGCATTGCTGACCACAGCGTCGATGAGAATGTCTTCCTCTTCGTCCCGAACCTGATCGGTTATGCGCGTGTGATCCTCGCTGGTGTTGCACTGTACGAGATGCCGACGCACCCCAAAGCGTGCACGGTTGCGTACGGAATCTCGTGTCTGCTCGACGCCGTCGACGGACAGGCTGCCCGCGCCCTCGGCCAGAGCTCCAAGTTTGGCGCCGTCCTCGACATGGTCACGGACCGCTGCACGACGGCGTGCCTCCTCTGCTACCTTGCGAGCGCGTACCCCAAGTGGGCGCTGCTGTTCCAGTTCCTGATCTCGCTCGACTTTGCGTCCCATTACATCCACATGTACTCGTGAGTAACTACGGCTCTCGCCCCGGTCGGACGCCCCGGAAGTTTCAATGATGCTTCCATGGCTTCTCCCCAGTGCGAGCGCAGAAGCTATCCTGTTGTTCCTCAAGCTAACCCGCAGGTCCCTCGTCACCGGTTCGAGCTCGCACAAGCAGATCACGGAGGACGTCTCGTGGATCCTCGCCAAGTACTACACGGACAAGACGACTCTGTTCCTCTTCTGCTTCTTCAACGAGCTCTTCTTCGTCTGCCTGTACCTGAACGCCTTCGTGTCGACCCCGATCGCGGCTGGTGGTCTCTTTGGCCGCCTCACGTGGCCGCTGCTGGGCGCGCTGATCTCCTTCCCCTGGTGCTTCGGCAAGCAGATCATCAGCGCCGTCCAGTTCTGGAAGGCGAGCAAGATTGTAAGTCGCCAAAAGTTGTGAACGGTGTGGTCGAAACTGACCTTTCAGCTCTGCGGTATCGACCTGTACGAGCGCCAGCGTGCGCGCGAGGCCAAGGCGGCGGCCAAGATCCTCGAGTCGCACGCCGAGGTCATCGTCGAGGAGGAGCCCCTCATCAAGCAATAGACACCCCACTTCAACATAGACCACACACGCGAGCGCACGATTCATCAGATGTCGGGCGCTGCTAGACTGCAGCGCTACCATTTCCACACTTCCCCGCCTTCTTCGTAGACAGCGTACATTTCCGTACAAACAGCTTAATTGCTAATGTATAGAGCCTTTGCACTTGCCTGGGCTTGTGCTGGCTCATCAGGCCCGAGACCGAACGACCATCTCGTTTCTATACCCTATGCATAAATGTACAAATTCGGACAGACCATCCCGCTTCTCCTCCCTCTAATCGCCATCAGAAGCCAGGGCTTAGCGGCGGCCCTTCTTCTGCACGAGCTCAAAGCCGTCGTCGTCAATGATGGGCTCCTGCTTCTCCTTCGGCTTGCTCTCAACGAGCTGGGGGACTTCGTCCTTATCGTCGTCGTCCTCGTCGCTCCAGTCTCCCTCCTCGTCGTCGCTCTCGTTCTCATCGTGCTTCGTAGCGTGTACCGGCTTCTTCGAGATCTCGGCAGCCTTGCGCTCGAGCGCGCCGACTGTGTCCTCAGCGCTACGCTCGCCGGGGGCGACGCAGTCGCGCCACAGCCTGGAAACGTCCTTGGCGATCATGTCCGAGCTGCCGTCCTCGAGAACAGCCTCGTACTCATCCGACATGTACTGGTCCAGCATGTCTGCGACCTGGTCCTCGTCCAGGGGCGGGTCGGCGGCCGACTTGGGGTCGACGTGCACCACGCCCGCGGCGTCTGGGGTAGTGTACGACGCGCCCTGCTCGAACGCGTCGATCACGGCCGAGAGCAGGTAGAGCTTCTTGTCCGCACTGTCGGGACCGCCCCACTCCTCCTTCACGGCGATTGTGAGCGCGGGCCAGAGGTCGAAGAGCGCCATAACGCCGCGCGCGAAGAGGAGGATCTCGGGCGCCTGCTGGTCGGGGACGTTGGAGGGCATGGTGGTTCGATTATCCGGAGGTGATTCGTGGTGATGTAAGTGTTCGGGGGTGCTTGCAGCTGTCGAGCTGGTCGTGCGCTCTTGTAGTAGAGTAGAGATGATACGGAGTAGTGCTGTCAGAGGGCTGTGGAATGCCTTGGACTGGAGGGTTGCCAGTCCCACCCAGTCCTCGAAAATCAGAGTGGAGGTTCGCCACCGATCTTAATTCCTCCTCCCATCTAGGTGCCACGTCGGTGACGCCCGCGCACCCACCCAGTACCTACCTCAACACTCTGGCTTGTCCGGCGCGTTGAGAATCGCTGCATCTCGCCGAACTTACCACAACAACAAATCGAAGGAAATCAAGGTCACCCTAGACACGCAAGATGCGGTTTTCGGCACCTTCATTCCTCGTCGGGCTGCTTGCGCTCGCGATCGGCGCCAACGCGCGGTCCAGTACCGGCGACCGTGTGCTGCTCGTTGTCGACATGGAGGACCGGGGACAGTTCAAGGGCGAGGGAACGTATACCAAGTTCCTTGACAGTCTGAAGAGTGAGTCGCTCCCAAAGCGTGATGAGCAGGTGCTGACTGCAATCCCCATTCATTGATTTCGCTGTGTATGGCTCCCGTCTCATTGCTCGCGATCTCATTCTGCTACCCATGTTCGCTTGCTTCGCTTGTGTTGTGATGGCGTGTACTCGGTTCTGATTCCTGTCTCCTCATAACCGTTTACAGGCCGCGGATACCAGGTCCAGATCAAGTCGGCGGACGCCAAGGACCTCGTTCTCTCCTCGTTCGGCGAGCCGGAGTACGACCACATGATCGTCATGGCCAGTAAGGTCAACAGTGCGTTGTGCTAGCTCGTTCTTTCTAACGCTCAGAGAACAACCGTCTCTTCACGCCCCAGGCGATCCTCGACGCCCAGGCCACGCACCTGAACACGCTCTACGTCCTGTCGCCGGACATGGACGACCTCCTCCGCTCAACGCTGCGCGAGTACGACGTCGAGCCCTCTCCGGCCGGCTCTGAGCTCCTCGACGCCTTCTCCCACGTCGGCGGCGGATCGCTTTCCGACGTTGTTCTGCCGACCGACTCAGTCGTCGCGCCGAAGCCCGTCGTGCCCGATACGCTTGGCCCGATCGTCTTCCCGCATGGCGTCACGGTCCAGCTCGGCGAGAACCCCTACCTCCTCCCCCTCATCGTGGCCCCGGGGACGAGCTACCTCGGCAAGAGCAACGGAAAGCAGATAGGCGGCACGGCGCCGCATTCCTCCGGCGCCGCCGTCGCCGCCATGCAGAACAGGCAGAATGTCCGCATCGGCTTTGCCGGAAGCAAGGAGATGCTCAGCAATGAGTGGTGGGGCAAGAAGCTCGATGGGTGAGCTCCTCAAGCCAGGCAACTTAGCTGACAGTGCAGAAAGGAGACGGGTAACCGCAAGGCCATCGAGGACCTCACCAAGTGGCTGTTCCAGGAGACTGGCGTGGTCAAGGTCGTCGAGACGAGGCATCACCGCAAGGGCGGAAGCGAGCCTGAGGAGGAGTACCGCAAGAAGGATGAGGTGGTGAGTAACTAAGCCATGGGCTCAACCACCGACCACACTCCTTTCCCTTTTTTCATCCACCGAC